ACTATTCGCGCAAAAATTAATAAAAATTCATAACATCGTAAATCCGTCAACCATTCCATAAGGTCAAAATACAATATTCACTTTAAAAGTAAATACATTTGGGGACGGTGTTACAAGTTCACCCCCCCTTATTTGGGATTTCGTCCCCGAAATCCACGTGTCTAATCGAAGAGAAAAGGGTATTGCTCTCTCATTGAGACCTCAGTCTCCCATGTTTCTTCCTCGACCCGATCACTCCTACAAAGGACTTTTACCATAGGAATATCCTTGTTCCTCAATTTCTTCACCTGTTGACCCACAACCTTTACCGGTTCCACTGCATATTGTAGATCTTCACGTATCTCCACCGGTGGCTTCTCAAGAATATGAGATGGATCTCTCACGTATTTCTTGAGCATCGATACATGAAACACGTCGTGTATCTTCTCAAGTTCCGGCGTCAGCTTGAGACGGTAAGCCACCGCCCCAATCCTTTCAAGGATTTCAAACGGACCAATGTATCGGGGGTTGAGTTTTCCCCTCGATAAAAATCGGATGATACCCTTCCAAGGAGAAATTCTTAGGAAGACCTTATCACCGACCTCGAACTCCAATGGCCTGCGTCGTTTGTCGGCATAGCTCTTCTGCCGATCTTGGGCAGTCTTGAGTCTATCCTGAATGACTTTCACTTTAGTCTTGGTGATTTCAACAAGTTCAATCCCCTCGAGCTTGGCCTCGCCAACCTCGTCCCAACACAACGGTGTTCTGCACTTCCTCCCATACAATGCCTCGTATGGAGGCATGCCAATACTTGCCTGATAACTGTTGTTATAGGCAAACTCCACTAGGGCCAAATGTTTGTCCCAACTTCCTTGGAACTCCAAAGCACATGCCCTAAGCATGTCTTCCAGGATCTGTATCACCCGCTCGGACTGTCCATCCGTCTGTGGGTGAAAAGCTGTGCTAAACTTCAGTTTAGTCCCCAGAGATGCTTGAAACTTTGGCCAAAATCGGGATGTGAATCGTGGATCCCTATCCGAGACAATGGATATTGGGACTCCATGTAATCTCACAATCTCCTCCGTGTATAGCTTCGTCAACCTTTCAAGAGGGTAAGTGATGTTAATAGGCAAAAAGTGAGCACTCTTGGTGAGCCTATCAACTACTACCCATACCGCATCATAGTTGTTCACGGTCCGTGGCAACCCCACCACGAAATCCATAGTCACATGCTCCCACTTCCATTCTGGAATGGAAAGTGGCTGTAATAACCCAGCTGGATGCTGATGCTCTGCCTTGACTTGCTGACAAGTAAGGCACCGACTGATGTACTCGGCTATCTCTCTCTTCATACCGGACCACCAGTAACTTTCTTTCAAATCGCGATACATCTTCGTGCCCCCCGGGTGCATGGCATAAGCCGATGAATGAGCTTCCTCTAAGATGGACTTTCGGAGCTCATCATCCGCCGGCACACACACTCGGTCACGAAATAGTAAAAGACCGTCGTCTCTTTCTCTGAAGTCCTCCACCGGTCCCGCTTGCAAGCGTTCCCTGATCTTCACAATTTCATCGTCAGTTTCCTGACCCTTCTTGATCTCATCAAGCAAAGTAGGTCTCACCTCAAACCGTGCCAATAAGGCACCATTACTGGACACCTCCAGTTGGGCTCTTAATGCCCTCAAATTAGCTATCAATGCCCCAGTTGAGCTCTTCCGGCTCAAAGCATCTGCCACTACATTTGCCTTGCCTGGATGGTACTCAATCACTAGGTGGTAGTCCTTTATCAACTCCATCCACCGTCTCTGCCTCATGTTTAACTCTTTCTGAGTAAACACGTACTTCAAGCTCTTATGGTCAGTGTATATGTGACATGTCTCTCCGTAGAGATAATGTCTCCAAATCTTCAGTGCGAACACCACTGCTCCCAACTCTAGATCATGGGTGGGGTAATTTACCTCATGCTTCTTCAACTGTCGTGAAGCATAGGCAATTACCCTCCCCTCCTGCATTAACACACATCCAAGCCATTGGATGCTCGCGTCACTATAGACATCGTACCCCATACCCTGTTTGGGTAATGCAAGTACCGGTGCCTCGGTTAATCTCTTCTTCAGTTCAGTGAATCCTTTCTCACACTTGTCATCCCATACAAACTTAGCTCCTTTTCGAGTGAGCTTTGTCAACGGTGATGCCAAAACAGAGAACTTTTCCACGAACTTTCTATAGTATCCTGCCAATCCAAGGAAACTACGAATTTCCTTGACGTTCCTTGGCCTCTCCCATTCGGTGATGGCTTCTATCTTCTTGTTGTCGACAGCAATTCCCGATCCCGAAACCACGTGCCCGAGAAAGCCAATCTCCTTAAGCCAAAATTCACATTTAGAAAATTTGGCATAGAGTTGCTTCTCCCGTAGTGTCTCAAGAACGAGTATCAAGTGCTCCTCATGCTCTTCCTCACTCTTTGAGTAGATCAAGATGTCATCAATGAACACAATCACGAATCGGTCCAAGTATTTGTGAAATACTCGGTTCATCAAGTCCATGAATGCCGCCGGGGCGTTTGTTAACCCAAACGACATAACAAGGAACTCAAAATGCCCATACCTCGTGCGGAAAGCACTCTTCGGTATGTCATCCTCCTTAATCTTCAGTTGATGGTACCCCGACCTCAAGTCAATCTTTGAAAACACGGTTGCTCCTCGTAGTTGATCAAACAAGTCATCAATCCTAGGCAAGGGATACCTATTCTTGATTGTGACCTTGTTCAGTTGACGATAGTCAATGCACATTCGAAGTGTTCCATCCTTCTTTTTCACAAAAAGGACCGGTGCTCCCCATGGGGAGTGGCTTGGTCTGATGAAACCGTTATCCAAAAGCTCTTGCAATTGGGTTTTTAACTCGTTAAGTTCAGCGGGTGCCATACGGTATGGCGGTATGGAGATTGGTTTGGTGCCGGGCTCGACCTCGATCACGAACTCAATCTCCCTATCGGGTGGAAGTCCCGGTAAGTCTTTAGGAAAGACGTCCGGATACTTGCATACTACCCTAACTTCATCAATGCTCGTCTCTTCTTTGGTTTTGTCCACCACATATGCTAGATATGCATGACACCCCTTCCTCATCATATTCTTAGCCCTCACAGCGGATATGATACAACTATTGGATTTTGCCCTATCCCCCTCGAAGCGTAAGGTTACCCCTTCATTGCCTTCGAGTTCAAGTACTTTCGTGTAACAATCGACCCTAGCATGATGCTTCTCAAGCCAATCCATACCCAGGATTGCATCGAACTCAATCATACTCAGCGGCACGAAATCACACGACAAGTTTTGGCCCTCCACTTCCACCTCACACGATGGATAGTGGCTATCTCTCTCGATGTCTTCCCCTAGGGGTGTGGATACCAATAGGGCTTGAGCCATCGGTATCAGGGGTACGTTGAACCCCCCGGCGAATGCCTCACTCACAAATGATCGTTGCGCCCCAGTATCGATGAGGATTCTCGCACATCTCCCATTAATCTTTAATGTTCCTACATCCATACACCATGTAAGATACATTTTCTAATGTTTTTACACATCATTAAGATGTTATTATGTTCATACTAATGTTTGGGATCAAACGGGGGTCCAAACGTAGAAGAACGGGGCGAAACAATAAAGTTTCAGGTGCCAGGGGTCCACGCACGGCGTGCGTAGGGGGTACGCACGGTCGTGCGTACCTTGTTTTACCAATGGAGGCTACTGCCCCCAACGCACGGAGGGACGCACGGGCAACGCACGGCCGGGCGTGCAGCGAATTTCCTCCGGGGTGCTACTGCCACCAACGCACGGAGGTACGCACGGACAACGCACGGCCGGGCGTGCAGCGAATTTCCTCCGGGGTGCTACTGCCACCAACGCACGGAGGTACGCACGGACAACGCACGGCCGTGCGTGCAGCCCAGCCTGTAGTGCGTTGGCAGAAATCAGCCCGATTTCGCCCAATTTCGCCCAATTTCGCTCCGTTTGGTCCCGGGGTGGCCCGAACTCAACCCCCAACGGTGTATATGATCAAACTAAGCCTAGAAATACATGGGAATACGTGTATTACCTGCAACGGAGTCCGGGTTTGCTCGCGCATCCGCCTCGGTCATCGCGTAGACTCTCGCTTGAGCCCTTCCTTGGTTCACGGAGGGTGCGTTGCTTGTACTTGCCCCGCCGTGGTTTGTGCCTGCATTGGGTGCCCCACCCCGGTTTCTACTCACCATGGTTGCACTGCTTGGCCCTGATGACCGGTTCCCACCAAGTTGAGGGCAATTGGGCTTTATGTGCCCCGTATCTCCGCATTGGTAGCACCGTGGGGGATCACGACATTTGCCCTCGTGATTTCTCTTGCAATTCCTGCACTTAGGCTTCGTCGGGGCTTGTGATCCCGAGTTCTGCCCACTCATGTTGGGATTCCCCCTTGATGGTGGTGCGGGTGCCCTGAAGGATCCTCCTCCCCCGTGATTCCCCTTCTTGTTTGAACCCTGGGGGCCATGGTTCTCCCATTTTCTTTTCTTTGCCTCCTCGGCATTTCTTCGCTTCCTTTCCTCCCATTCCTTCTCCCCCTTCAAGCCTTGTTCGACCACTTGGCTAAACGTCATATTAGGCAATTGTGTTGCCCTCTCACGTATATCAAGGTCCAAGGCGTTCCAGAAGTGGTTCACCATCCGGTTCTCATCACAAATGTATTCCGGTATGAACTCAGCAAGTTTTCTGAACTTGTGCTCAAGCTCCTTCACTGTGCACTCACCTCCTTGGGTTAAGGTTGTGTACTCCCTCCTCTTTAAATTCACTTCAAAGTCGGAGTAGTATTGGCTAAAGAATTCTTGTCGGAAATTCTCCCAGGTGACGGCCTCGCCGTACTTCCCTTTAGCTCCGTCCCACCATGTGGACGCCATGCCTTCTAGTAGTCTTGTGGCCACTCTCAACTTCATGTTCGGTGGCAGCTGCATATCCAGGGCCGCTTCATTGAATCTCTTGATCCACTCGGCCGCCACGGAGATGTCTCCCGTTCCATCAAACGGTTTACATCCCAAGTCTCTCGCCTCCTTTAGGTACTTCGAGATTCTTATGATAGGAACCTCGGCACCTCGCCCTCCTTGGGGTTCTATGCTTCCCCTAGGACTCACACGGCTCCCTCTCCTCGAAGCCCCCCTCGAAGCACGCCTTGCCCGGCGCCTTCGGCGATCTTGATGATATTGCCGGAGCAATTCCTCAATCCTTTCTAGAGCGTCGTTATCGTCGCTCCCCTCGCTAATGTCATCATCTTCCCCATCATATGGGGTTTCAACCGGCTCCGTTCCCGGTCGGTACGTTGAATCCTCCTCGGACTCATAATGCTCGTCAATTGTTTCAACATGACCGTCACTAACGGTCAGCGAGTGGCCTGCACGGCCCTGCCCCCGAGACACCCTTGATGCCCCTCGACTGCCATGTTGGGACCTTCCCGGCGCCTGGCCAGTCGGGTTTCGTCGGGTGACTTTACCGGTGCGTTCCATTTCTGAAAGAGATAGAGAAGGAGTCATTAGACCCGTATCAAATGTCAAGTGACGGATAGGCACTTAAAGACATCTTTTGGCTCAAATCACCGTCATACCAATTGTTAAGGGTACCATCTTAACAATTAGAGACTTTGCAACTCAAGTACCAAAAGTTCTATAAGTGCAAAACTTTTATGCTCATGGTTTTCAAAATCATTTTCAAAAGGGATTTTGAAGCTTCATTATGAAGTTTACGGACTAAGGCTCTGATACCAATTAAATTGTCACGCCCCGGACCTTCCCGGACACGTCAACAACCCGCCGTACAGTACGAATAGTCAACCGCAGTCCAACTCATCCATACTATACAAGGCGTCTTGAATACCATTCACATTAGTACATCCATAAACAATCACAATGTAAATCATTTAATTAAGCAGCGGAAATATTAATACAAGCATTCGAGCCACACGTGGCAAACACGGGCGTGCAAGCCCTAAATAATTATTCGGAAAATAGTATCCATGAGCATTAATTTGAATGTTTTAAAACAGAAACGGAGGAAGCACGAACCACGTCTCCTCTCCTTGATAATCCGCCCGAAGCAACAGTGATGGTAGCACCCTTCAAGTTCTACCTGAAACTGTGAGGTGGCCTCCCCCGTGAAGGGGAGGTCAGTACTTGGAAGCATTTGACAAGTACAATGACAACTATACTAAGTATAATCAAAGTTTCAATTTCCAAGACCCTCAATCTAGGATGTTATTATATTATAGGTCATAACCCGTGGTTACCCTCTTTTGAAAGTATACTTACTTTATATATATAGTCAAGTAATCGCCCGAAGGCCCATGTTTACTTTGGAAACATTTAACCCCTTCCCCGTGACTTCAAGCCACACCCATCTATATTAGTTTACCATGCTAGAGGCTTCCTCTAGTCATGTTTTGTCGTGCTAGAGGCTGACTCTAGTCACTCCACTTGGTGTTAGAGGCTTCCTCTAATCACCTTACATACGTTGTGCTGGAGGCTTCCTCCAGTCACATTACGTTACGCTAGAGGCTTCCTCTAGTCGTCCTACACGAATGCTGGAGGCTTCCTCCAGTCATTCTTCATCGTGCTCGAGGCTTCCTCTAGTCACGATACTAATTCACTAAGCAATCTCTATGCCTAGAGTTCCTCTACTATGAGTAACCTTCATGATCCACTCCTACGGTAACTTAGCGTTTACTCATTTCTACCTTAAGACATTTCATATGACTACTTAAGGTACATCATTCACAATCCAAACCCCTAGGATTTGTTCTATCACTTTTCATGCTAACATCCCCGGCTAGTATTTCTATACTAGTCATTTAACCTTAATAAACCAATGCAATTTCATAGTAATTTGGCTATTTCAATTTAATTCCACATTCAAGTATAACTTGGTTCTAATATCAAAATATCACTTTTATCCTTCCATGACTTCCTTACATGAGGTAAAAGTATATTTATCACAATTCATTTATAGTTTGCACGCTATTATACCATTGTATTCATAATACATAATCATACACAATTTATTCATAAATTTGTATATTATGCACTTTTACTCATAAACAATAATAATCTCATTTAGGCATTTTGTTATATTATAAATAAATCATGCCAAACACATATAATTCATTTAGGTAATCTTATGAAATTAACCCAATAATTATAAGCAATATAGTCGGTCATCCTCACCTTAAGTGAGCTTAAGCGTGTTCTACGCTCCGCGGTTGAACTTTGACTATTTCCGGTGAACTTTGACCAACTCCGGCCAACTTTGACCAACTCCGGCGAAACTCCGGCGAAGCTCAAAGATACTCTAAATCAAGTTCCTTAACTTTCACACCTTTAGCTAGTTTTTTCCTCCTTTAACTTCCTATCAACTTTCTTGTTTGAGCTTGGCTTGAGTTTGGCTATGAAAGATGAAGTTGCAGAGCTTCTTTCCTCCTTTTCCTTAGTGTTGGCCGAATGAGTGAGGAGGGGGAGGAGTAGGAATGCTCATTTGTCTCAATTGAGTAATGAGTGAAGGAAAGGAGGGCCACCATGATTTGTTTTGATGCCAAACATCTCAAATAAGCTCTCTCTCCCACCTCCCTCTCATATCAGCCGACCCATGCCTTGAAAAATGTGGCTAAATTCGTGGGTTGGCCCCCACCCATGTGGGAGGTCAACCCTTTTTGTCCCGAAGTGTACATTTTGTCCCGAAAGTTGTATTTTTCGGACAGTTTTAAATATATTTTATTTTATCGGGTCAAATAAGATATATTACATGTTCCCAATCATTATGACCCTTAAAATGAATATACATTTCCCAACTTAAATTTATAGGTCTCCGAAATCCAATTTCGGGCTTTTATCGGTTAGATTGCCAATACCGGTATTTGGGCCTCTTTTGACCAATCGGTCAACTCAAGACCTTTCCATGGTTCAAAAGAATTATCCACCCCCATATAAATATTATCTAGACCAAGATGAATAATTTATGTGGTCCCGGGAATATCGGGCGGCCCCCGCTCCCGGTGCGGGCCCCACGCGCGAACTTACTATTCGCGCAAAAATTAATAAAAATTCATAACCTCGTAAATCCGTCAACCATTCCATAAGGTCAAAATACAATATTCACTTTAAAAGTAAATACATTTGGGGACGGTGTTACATAAAGTGATCTAAAACTTATTGCTTGAGGGTTATGTTCGTACAAAAATGGACGCTCATAAACTTTTGAGAAAGAAGTATTACGAAAATGGAAAGTTGCTATGTGAAAAATGGAAACTTATTTCAGATTGACAACTAAAATTGCTATACGAAAAATCGACAACGAAAATGGAAAGTTGCTATACGAAAAATGGACGCACATCTATTGGGTCAGCTCATTAGAGCATCTTTAATGGCGAAGTGGATTGTAGCTCCTAAAAAATGGACATGTCACGTGAGTAGAAGGTCCGTGAAGCTGAGGTGGATACATAAACGTTTAAATTAAATGGACCGCTCCAATGCAATCGTGGATCCAAAAATTAGTCATTCCTAAAAACAGCCACAAGCACCCATTTATGTAAAAACAACCGCTTCGGTGTCGGTGTCCCGGGCCGGTGTTCTAGGTTTAATGCTTCAAGTCTTCAAGATCTCAGATTCTCAGACCCAAGCTATCTGCATTCTGCACCGAACATATATGTTCTTATTCAGGCATTCTGGAAGTGCGAACCTTCCCCCTCTCATCTTCAAGCCCCACGCGTCCGCCAATCAATCAGGTTATTAGGAAATCTCAGTTCAACGTTCTGAACCTTTCTTCTAGTTTTCTTCATCATCTTCAACGGCTGGCATACCTGAAAAAGCAGCAACTTCAGCGGCTTGTCGTCTCCGTGTTTCGCCGGCGAGAAAAGATATGACCACGGAGTTTTACTTCTCTCTCGTTCATAAAAATCAGGCTGTATAGAGTCACGAGAACACAGTGATGCAGTCCGGCGATTCACTATTTTCAGAGGGCAGTCTTGCTGTCCTCTATAGTTTTCCGGCATAGAGACACCCCCTCTCCGGAAGCTCTGTAGCTCGGCGGTGATTACCCGTTTCTCCTCGATCTCCTTTCGACGTCACAGATTAGCGACAATCTCCTTTCGGTGGTTCCGGCAGGAAACACTAAAAAAATCTGGCGACGGATCTGACGACTTCGTATTTGCATGCTGCTCCGGCATCCGGTGATGTGTGGTGTTGGAGACGCTCTGCCAAAGTCTTCTTCTTTGCCGCAAAAGGATACATACGTAGTGTGTCAATTTAATTTCGTATATGGCATAGTATGTCGGTTGAGTTTAGTGAGCAAACTTTTGTTTTTGAAATGTGGTGAGCCAACTTAAAAAAATTAGATTAGGCGGAAACTATTTAATTTTTGATGACTCAGCCGTGGATAAGGCCTTCTGAAAATCGAAAGAGGAATCGACAGTGTGCGATTTAGTGCGCTCCAACTCAGCAATCCATTTTGTTTAGACATTACCACTGGAGCAACAAATTAATCTGAGTGTGTATTTATTTGACGTGGCAATCCATTTTTACCCGATTCATGGTCCCATTGCGGATGCTCTTAATCTGTCTCCTCATAACGGCCAGCTCTTCTTCTTGTGCCGTTCGGGGTGGTGTCCTCAATTGACAAATTCTGGGGTCCTCTCTGTTTGGGGTGCCGTCGTTTCCTGGCATCTTCGTATGAAACGATCACCGTCCCTCTCGACATACTGGAAACGTTGGCTCATGGGCATTAGCTCCCGAAAATGTGCCCCCTGCCCAGGGACGAACGGAGTATGGTCACTGGGAGTATGCTGCTTGTGTTTTCTGTATCGTCAGTGTATTCATCGAATGACCGGATAGGGCGGATCAGGGAAGGGGTCGTGCGCTCAGTCTCAGTATAGACGGAGTGTCCTCTATCTGCTTATCTGCCATTTGGCGCATTGCATCCGTCAGCTCCCTCATCACCCGGGGGTCCCTCTTAGCTGCTTCAAGGATCAGGTCCGCGACGTCCCCGCCATACCCCTGAGTCCATCCACTACCAGTTTGACCCTGAGTGGACCATGTTATGGAAGCCCTGCTGCCTCCCTGGCCTCCGCGGGCATCATCAATGTGTGTCGAGGTGATTCTGACCATTTTGAATGTGAGATGTTACTTAGATCGGTAGGTTTTTGGGATTTTAGTTCAGTTTCCCACAGATGGCGCCAATGTTGAGGTTTAATCCCCTAGATCCGAAGGCCCAACACAAACCTTAGGATATTTAGGACGATTTATGGGCAAAGATATTTAGGACGATTTATGGGCAAAGATGATTAAGAAATGAATTTGGTAGGTAATGCACCCAATAGCCCACTTGTGTTAGAACAATAATGATTACAGGGCAATGGCCGAACGCCACTTAGGTTTAACTGCTAATACAACAACGAGAGTGAATGCTCCTAATTAAAATGCTTCTGAGTATTAAAATGCCAAGCCTTTACAATGGAGTAAATGCTCCTATTTATACTATAAGGGGTAGGTGGGGGATGATGTGGCCAAATCCGATTGGTTGCTTTCCATGCCACATGTGCACCCATGCCCCCACTTGCAGCCGTCATACTCTAGCATTTAATGTAGCCTGCCACTTACAAGGCCTCTCGATCGGGTCTTGGGCTTAGGAAGTCATTAGGCATTAATGACACTTACTATATATACAAGGATAAAAACTGACCCGTTCGGGATAGATCGACCGGCCTTTTTGGTGGCTGACTCGACCCCGTCCGGGACCTTCAATGCCCGTTGGGTTCTCCTTGGTCTTTCCTTCCCTTTCGGAGCCCCAAGATCCTTTGGGCCAAATATTGGGTTGGACCCAATATCCCAACAATTATAACCTTATTTTTAAATTTATATGATTTATCAATATCAATTTAATTTTTAAAAATAATCTGCTACAGCAGCTCAAAATGGCTTGATTGATTGAATTTCAAAAGTAAGCGTTATATAATATTTTTTAATAGAGTAGCTTAAGTGATGGATTGAAAATAGTAGAGGATCTATTTGACCATTCACCCTTTTTTAATAAATGACATACATAAGCTTTAACTGGTAAATTACCGCTTATGAAAGTCATTTGCATTATATCGCCGAGTTGGAGAATTTGAATGCAATTTTTGTTCTAATTTAAGGGGTGATTTACACTATATTGAGTTGGAGGTCCTAGTCGCACGTTTTTATAATTTAGGGGGTATTTTGCACTATTGATGTTAGTTCAGTGGCTGATTTGATACTTTTCCCTAAAGTGGAATGATATAAATCACATATTTCTTTCCACAAGCAGGAATAGAACACTTATTTTTGAGTAACCTAAAATTGATAGTAAAACACATAAAATGAGACGAATGAAGCACGAAGTATTATTTTTAATTAAAATCCAAATCTGGTCCAATACTGATGATCCGGACAAACCTGAAATTATCAGGTCCGATCTAGGGCCGAAATTATATAGGTTAGTCTTCAGTCAAATATCTTTGAAAATCCGGTGCTGGCCCAACTAGTCATGGGCTGATTGTTACCCCTTTAATGTATATATAACAACATATTTTAAAAAAGGAAAAACTGGATTTAATAATCCCAACTATGCCCGGTCCGCCTTTAATAATCCCAATTTTTTATTATTACTGGTGGTCTAAACTTAATTGGGCCTTTTCTACTAATGGTCCCCACGACTGGTTACCGGCTAGGAACATAAAAAAATACTCCCAAATGTAGAACTAGTTCTCAGGCATTCAACTATAGACATACGAGGTCTCATCTGATGAAATCGAGTGCTATCTTTTTCCCTGCACTTCGTGCGCCGGCTCCTGAGGAAAAATTCAAGTGCCTGATTTGAAGGTTCTAATAGCTTCGTTGTGACCATATAGCAGATACAGAGTAGCTCCAGGTTTTTTATTTATAGGTGCCTATGTATACAAAACTAGGGTTACTTGGTGAATTTAAGCTTTATTATAATCCGTTTCATACTTAGAAGCTTTAATTCAAGCAAATCCTCAAAGCCACTTTAAGTTGTTCACAAATCCATCAACAAAGGCATTCCCCCCCCCCCCCCCCCCACATTTCAGAGATTTTTTGTTTGTTTTAGTGGTCTGAGAGAAGGGTGGTTGAGTGGAGGTAGAAAGGTTTTATGTGTGGATGGTTGCTTCATTACGACCTTTTTAGGGGGGATGTTATTATCTACAGTAGAAAGAGATTCCAATGATCAGATGATTCCATTGGCGTGGGCTGTTGTTGAAGGTGAAAATAACTCTAGTTGGGAATGGTTTGTAAGTGAATTAAAAAAGACAATGGGTGATTCTAGAGGAGCAGACTACACCTTCATTTTTTATGAGCACCAGGTAATACCATTTCCATTTTAATTACCTTATCATGAATATCAAATAATTTATTAATGCAGTTTGTTGTTTCTTAATTGTTACAGTCCATTTTGCGTAGAGTTTCTTGTGTGTTCCCTCTTGCAGAGCACAGACATTGTGCGAGACATGTGTTTGCAAATTGGCACAAAACATATAAAGGTGATGAATTAAAGATGATATTCTGGAGAGTAGCAAAGGCTTATAATGAAGCTGATTTTGTGGAGGCTTTGGATGAAATGGGTAAAGTCAGTCCTGTTGCAGTTACTACTTTTAATGCATATAATCCCAGGTGTTTTTGTAGAACCTACATTAGAACAACCACAAAATGTGATGTCATAGTAAGCAACATGGCAGAAATGTTTAATGGGTACATTATAAATGCTAGAGCTAAGCACATAATATTTATGCTAGAAGATATTAGGGGTGCTTTGATGCAAAGAATGGTTGTTAGAGGCAGGGTATGGAAAATAATGGAAGTTTGCTATGTCCAAGAATCCAGGCAAGATTAGAAAAATAAAAAGATGAGGCAGCCAATTGTACCCCCTACCCTCTAGTGAAGTGTTGTAGTGTGTGCAAGTCAAAGACACATAACAAGACAAATTGTTCGGATAAAAATAAAGCTACTGAACTACAATCTCAACCAAAAAGGAGTAGAGGAAGGCCAAGAAAGGTGAGCCAGCCTGAAGCACACATAGAGCATGATGCTATGACAGCCCAACCATCTAGAATTGGTAGAGGAGGAAGAGTGATTCACGGAAGAGGAGCCAAAGTTGGACGAGGAGGTCAAGGAAGAGGACGCAGCACACGAGAAAGGGGTAAAGGGAAAGTACCAGTTGGGTTTGGAGTAATGATTGACGGACAAGGAAATGCATGGGCCAATGTAATTTTCTGTAATTACTTCTTATTCTTTAAGTATATTTACTGAGTATTACTAATAGTTAATATCATTGTAGAGTCCCGGGCAGCAAGGAGGACCAGTCAATATATCACAAACAAGCACCTATACCTCTGCAGCTCCAGCAGCTCATTCAGTGTGACTTTGAAGACTAATATTTTATTTATGTAGTTCACGAGCACTTGTATGAACATTTTTATGTACTCTAGTTTTTGAAGTGTTGTTTACTCTAGTTATTATGTAATTCTGAACCACCTGGATAACCATTGATATGTTGGTATTCTGCTACTAATTATGAAGTACGAAGTATCTATTATTGACTTTTCTGAACATAATGTTCTATTTTTGAGTGTTAACTGTGTGAAATTATGTTGTGTTTGAATAAGAAGTTTGGTTATGTTGTCAATGGTTTCTATTATTCATAATGTGTCATTCAATGTTATTCATAATATGTTATTCATAAAACCATAATGTGGACATATGAGCTTTACCGAGTTCCGCTTTACTGAGAATGTGAATATTACTGTCAGCTTTACTCAGGATATAACATTTCATAATCTGTCATTGTGAATATTAATAGCATAATAATAGGAAGAATGAGCTTTACTGAGAGTGTATGTGTTCAACAGGTTGGTTCATTTGAAATGTGATATCCTGACTTCAAAATGCACTTATGAGGAATGCTATCAATGATAGTGGCTCAATTAATAATACATTCTATACCTTAATTTTAGCATCTCAGTGACCTTTTGATTTGTTCCAAATGAAGGTGTTTTAGTGTCTCCTGAAGTGGTAATGTCCAAAATAGTTGTCATTTTGTTTTGCCAATAATGGTGATGAAAATTTACAAGGCAGGGGAATGGTGACTGATACATAATTTGTTTTCATTATGTAATATTTATACTGAATGGTACTATTAAATGTGGACAATACCATGACAAAATGACCTGCAAATGTCAAAAGTACTAATATTTATACAGGTGGGTTTCTTTCCAAACCCCATGGTGAATTAAAAAACAGTTTTTGACAGCTGCAAATATGGACACGGTTTTTTCCCAGGCTTCATTTTGCTTCTTTAGCATGAGAAAATTATTTTTTAGCTGCAAATATCAAGACAAAATGACCTGCAAATGTCAAAAGTACTAATATTCTATCAGTACCATTGTTGGGTATACTGATAGCTCAGATGTTATTCTTGTTAGCTCAGTCAAACACATTTTTTATAGCAGCAGAATAAAAAACCATTTTTATATTAAAAAACCTATTTTTGTAGTTGCAATATACCTATAATCAGTCAAACACTTCAGTTAGCTCAGCTGCTATTTTGGTTGTTATACACAATAAAATCAATGTCATATACTCTATTGTTGAGGTAAACAACAACCATTTTTGGTCATCCTTTTTAGCATCACGTTATCACATCCATAATATTTGGCCATAACTCATAACAATTGCAACCCCTTTAGTCAAACAGAGTAACTCGGAATTCAAATAACACAGTTGAAGAACTAAAACATCAGTAGTGCTTACACCCAAACACCAACATAACGGTTTAATACATGGCAAGCATTCAAAGATATTTATAATACAATAGTAATACTACCTACTAAACACCTCAATTCACTTCTGATATAGTATAATACTATAATGCTAAATAAAATCCATGAAACAAGCAGCCAAACAAATGCAAGTTTCTCTCCCTTTCCGTGCTTCAAGCCAAAATGCGAAATTCTTTGATTTTAGCTCTCATCTTTTCTTTCTTCTTTTCCAGCTTCACAATCTTCTCCTCCAAATCTTTTTTCTCCATCAAAAGCTGTTCAACTAAATTACCCTTATCATTTGTCTTCTCTTCCAAAAACACACAAGGATTGTCCTCAACCCATTGAAAATAAGAACAATCATCTTTCTGAAAAAAGTGAAATATCATATGTATCATCTTTACATGGTGTAATATCACGTTTCAATTCTAATCAAAACTAATATTTAAATACCAACTTACTGGCCATAGAGCGCATCCATAGAACTGCCGTCCAATATTGGGGCCATTTTTTACAGTTCTATGGTTCGAATACACATAATGGAAACATTCAACACTTCGTTCACGTGAAGCTTTGATTTCGGACCTGCTTCCCCGCGAAGATGAACCACCAGCATAAACCATTTTGAATTACCTGCTATCTGGTCTCTTGGGGCTCTTGGATATGGCAGATTGGACGGGTACAAAAAAGTAAGAAGGTTTGGGGAAGGGGGTAGCGTATTATAAACGAAAGAGAAGAAGAATCTAAACAGGTTGGTTTACGGCGTCGTTTTAATTAATAGGAAATAAACAGATGACCTCCCATGATTTTACTGGCTAAGAAGGGAAGGATTAGGTTTCAGCCGGTGGGGACCATTAGTAGAAAAGGCCCAATTAAGTTTAGACCACCCACTAATAATAAAAAATTGTGATTATTAAAGGCGGACCGGGCATAGTTGGGATTATTAAATCTAAATTTTCCTTTAAAAATTGTTCTTGCTATCAAAATGTTCGGTTATTATCATTAAATTGAACTGTGCTCAAAGCTATGGTGTAATAACATATTGATATTTTTGTAGTTCCCTTCCATTGTTTAGCTGTTAATAACGTCATCATCAAGTGCATCTGTGAACGGGCCAAGGCGTCAACTAAGTGAGCGTGGAAAAGAGGTAGTATTCCAATTATTGGCCTATCAAAGGAGAATTCAAGAGTTAACAACTTATATAAATAGCCTTTGGATGATATACCCCATGGGAGATGAACAAAAAGCTGCTATGTATCACGCCGAAAGGAAACGGGTGATTGATCAAGAGCAAAAAAGAGAAATCATACTAACCAACCAATATGACTTGAGTAATGTGATAATATGCTCTCCAGAATATAAACAGACACCGAGACAAGGGGCGGTGCGGTTTTGCGGTCTAGTGCTCCTCTCGCTCACGTTTTTGTAATAGTAACTTTTCACTTTTTTTACCTATGTGTTTTGGCATTCTAAAAAAGAAATAATTACATAAATATGATCAAAATAAAGATTGGGGTTGAGCGCGGATCTGGGAATTCCCGTTCCGTATCGAAGAACCGTCCCGAACCGTTCCAGAACCGATAGAACCGGAAAAATGTAATACCGTACTGTACCGTACCGAGCTTTTTTAATAAGATGGTACGGTACCGGTTCTTAGTGAGAACCGTTCCGGAACCGTCCCGGAACCGTATTGAACCGAACCGTCTCGTACCGTACTGAATTGTCCCGAAAACTAGTGTTATAATATAATTATATATTATATATAATATATTTTACCGAGTGTAAATGTTAATGACCGTATGTCATTACAAATGTGCAATCTTGCATATTCTTTGTCATGTGATGTGATACTTTTTGGTTTTTCAGTTTGATGACCACTTTTGCTTTTTAGTTTGGATGTTACTTTTCTTTATTATAGTTTGATTATTAGTTTCATATTTCAATTTGATCACACAAGATCAATTAAATGTAGTCTTGCAAGTTCTTCTCTTAAATTTTTGTAGAGTTATTTATAAATGTTAAAATCTAAAGTTTTTTTATATTTCATGGGGGTTAATTATTTAAGAACTAAATAACACTGAAGAACCGTACCGAACCGTACCGAAAATTGGTACGGAACGGGACAGGTTCTATAAATATGCGGGACGGTACCGGTTCTTGATTTTTAAAAGAACCGTACTTTGGGACGGGTCAGGTTTTTCGAAATAACCGTCCCGTACCGTCCCATGCTCAACCCTAATAAAGATGATTTACAAGAATATGAATAGTGACTAGAGTAGTAATGAAATCATAGTAATTCATGTTCAAGTTTTGAGCTTAAGATACCACAACACCACATTGTAGTAATGAATAGTCATATTTATGTAAATATGTTTTATTTTAGTAATATTCTTATAAAAAACCCTTCTAAAAATAGACACGTTTTCTTTCTTTGTTTGGAAATGAAAAATCGAGAAATGACCAAATTACTATTGTACTTCGTAGTAACTTTCATTACTTTTTTCTGTCAAAAAAACTTTCATTACTTTTTTCTGTCAAAAAAACTTTCATTACTTTTAATTACTGTATTTTTCACTAAAGCGTAGTTCGATTTTGAGGTAGAGTAATTCAACACTCATCCATCATCATGCGTATTTCCAAATAAAGAACGTGAATGTATAAAAAAGTGACACGTCACTTTTTATAAAGGTAGACGGAGGTCCTATGTGTGCTAACATATTAGGGAAAGCTCCCGAAATATGACTAAAACAGTTTAAAAATTCCAAAATAGGACTGCTATATTTTTTATTCTCAAAGTAGGAGTAATTACTGCCAAGTTTGGAAAATACTGCCATGTTTGAAGTCTGGTGCTGCCAAAACCTATGTTGTAAAAACCGGACCGGGAAGCGGTCAACTCCCGGAAAACCCGGTCAACAAAGAAATAGAATTATTATTTTAAAATATACAATTTTTAACAAAATATAAAATATATATTAAAATACTACTCACTTATTAGTAGTAACTAATAGACTAGTGCAGTAGTGCGAGTAGTAATTTTTATTTTTATAGTTAATTATTACTTTAGTTCGAGTTGTTTTTGGTAGTAACATAGTGCACTAGATTAATTATAAACTTTCAATTTTGTGTTTGTCATCCACATACATCTATATAAAACTATAAATACGAGTATTTATTTGGTATTGTCTATGTCAAAAGGCTTGTTGAATGTTTCTACGTATCAAAGCACCAACCGGAGGTTGAATTGAATTCTTCAAAGCAATGAATTGAAAAGAATGAATAAACATAATGGGCATTTTACGACACATTTTACGCATATGCGGCGTTAAATTTTGTGTATATGATACTACCTCCGTCCCAATTTACTTAGCCATCTTTGACTTTTCCGGTCAAAGATGGTAAGCTTTGATAAATTATTTTAACTAATATATTTATGCAAAATTTAATAATTTTATACTTTTATTATAGTATTTTTAACAAAGAATATTTTCATATTATTTTCATATTATCAAATTTTCTCTATATAAACATATAATCGGTAAAATTTAGACATCATTGACTTGAAAAGTCAAGTTTGGCTAAGTAAAATGGGACGGAGGGAGTACTTTTCATGAGTTTCTACAACAACGTAGTTTCTTAGTATATTAGTTTAAACCACACAGGATTAGTAGCATGCCAAATGCCATTATTATATTTCCCATTAGGGATTCATCATTAGTATTCCAATTTCAAAGTTTGTGGATTTATATAACAAAAACCGTGAATCAAATAAGTAAATAACTACCCAAGAACCAAATCTAAATTCGTTAAAAAATAAAACTAAATCTAAATCATTCAATAATGCAATATAAATAGTAGGGTTGACACTTTTAATACCAAAATCTTGCACGATGCATATATATGATATGAGAGATATCCACATAAATATTAGGAAATAAATATATATCTTCTTATTTGAATGATTTTATACAGTTTTAGTAATTTTTCTCCACAATGTCAAGAAGACCGTCTATATTTTGATATGGTGGTTGACATGGCAAATAAATTACCTATCTCTTTTTAACATTTAAAAAGAATCTAGAAAGATCGATTAACAGCTATACGAGAAAATCTTTGATACTACATCTCAATTTCCATAGAATTTTTCTTCTATTCTACTGAACAATATAAATTCACTACACATCAATAAAAAATCACTTATCATTATGTTCATATCAAATAGTGTAATTAATACTTTAATTAGGTATCCATATTTATTTGTTTCCTAATATACTCAGAGCTCCTCTTATTATATATATATATGACATATAGGCTACCACATTGGGTATGTCTTTCCATTATTTTCACATGGTATCAAGAGCCCTAGGTTTCTAATTTTTTTTCGATGTCTTCGTCCACTACTTCTGCCGCCGAGTCCCAAGTCGCTCCCAGCACCACCGCCGCGACCACAACGCCGGCGGCTGACGTGCCGGTGATGAGCGAACCTTCCTACGGGGGATCCTTGACAGCGCCGCTGCAGTCCGATGTCCTCCATCAACACGTCTCGGGCTTGCCGCTTGATACACCGTGGATCCCGCCGATTTATTCGGCCGTCACCCCTGTTTAATGTCGACTCACACGCCCAATTCGGCTGTCCGAGCTCGATTTGGTGGTTCAACTCTGTCCGGAGCTCCTGGTCTGCAGATGCCTCACACGGCCGAGCCTATAAGCCGACATCAATCGGATAATTCCATTCCGGTTTCCTTCTCTGCATTGGCGCAAGGTATGACTCTTGGATCTGCTATCCGTCAAATTGTTACCACAAAATTATTGGCGGTTGAAGATTACTTACCATGGCGTACTCAATTTGAGTCGTTCTTGGTAGCGAATGGTGTCCTAGGTATTCTCGATGGTTCGCTACCGGCTCCACCTTTATATACCTATGATTTATATCAGGCTTCTTCAATGAATCCTGAATATTATCACTGGTTAAAGTTGGATCAAACTATTCGTGCCTGGTTGTTTGCTACTCTCTCTCTCATGAAGTTTTGATGGAAGTTCATACTCTTAAGAATTTCTCTACAATTTGGGAAAAGTTGGAATCTCGGTTTATGGAAGCAAGCCTTGCTCGTTCCATGGAGTTAAAACATCAGTTTTCACATACAAGAAAGAAGGTTAATCAATCAATGGAAGAGTATGTTCGTGGAATTTAGACGATTGCGGACAATTTAGCTTCCATTAATTCTCCGGTTTCTGATTCTGATCTTTTACAACATACTCTATGGATTGGGACCGGGTTATGAGTCGCTTGTTGGACCGCTTACACTCTATTCTGAAGGCCTCACCTTTGACAAATTATGCACCAAGTTGGTACATCAAGAGGCATGATTACAGTATCAACAATCTTTTAGAATCATGAGTTGGTGCCCCTGCTTTTTCGGCCAACACATCGGCAGGGGGAAATCAGGCCGTGGCCAATGCTGCTAGACATCAGCAGGCTTATCGGGGTGGCCGTGGAGGTCGCCGTGGCCGCGGGCGTGGGCGTGGGCGTGGCCGAGGCCGTCAGCAGCCGTCGGCGAACGGTCAGCAGTTTCTAGCCCATGGTCAGCAACCCCAAGCGTAAGGACAACAGCAGCAGTTCGGTCAGCGTCCTCCATTCCAGCAGCAGCAGCAACTCGGCCCCTGATAGCAGTATACTCCGTTTCCGGGGCAACCGGGTACATTATTTTGTAATACAGTTCTATCATCGTTTTATACTCCTGCATCATCTACTTTTTGTACTAACGATGCTTCTGCAGGATTCCCGTCTTTTGAGAATAATTTTGGTTCCGTTCCACACTTCCACCACCTGTTGTCTGCCAAATCTGTCATTCTCCATGTCATTCTGTTGTGTCATGTCCTTCTCGTTTTGCTCAATCTTCTACTCCTGCTTTAGCTGTCCCTACCGGCGAATCCACCCCAATTGTTTGGTATCCTGATTCCGGTGCTTCCGCTCACATGACCGCTAATGAAGGTATTTTAGTCAATAAATCTGTTTATTCTGGACCACTTTCTATTACGGTTGCGAATGGCTCTACTTTACCTGTTAAGACTATTGGTGATTTGCATTTGTCCACTATGCCCTGGTCTCTCCATTTAAAATCGGTTTATCATGTCCCTCATATTAAATATAATTTATTGTCCATTAAAAAATTAAGTGCCGATAATAACTGTTTTGTGGTCTTTGATAAAAACTCTGCTTGTGTTAAGGACAAAATTTCGGGGAAGGTGCTTCTTCAAGCTTTCAATAATGATGGTGTCTACCCTATATCCCTTTCTGCCAGTTCGCCTGTTGGTCTAGCCTCCCATGTTGCCCCTGGACCAGTCTGGCATCGTCGCTTAGGACACTGTGGCAATCGTATTTTAGATTGGCTTAGGAGGTCTGGCACTATTCTTAGTACTTCGAATTTTTCTCATGATTGTATTTCTTGTCGCTTAGGAAAGTCACAACGATTACCTTTTCAAGAAGTTTGGCATAAATCTACTGCTCCTTTATTTTTAATTCATTCAGATGTTTGGCAATCTCCTGTTTTGTCTTCCAGTAGCTATAAATATTATGTTCTTTTTATTGATGATTTTTCTCGTTTTACTTGGCTTTATCCGATGCGCCGTAAAAGTGAAATTGTGACCCACTTTCGAAATTTTAAGGTAATGGTGGAAAATTTATTAAACTCTAAAATTAAATTTTTTCAAAGTGATGGAGGGGGTGAGTTTGATAATCATGGTATGCATGAAGTTTTTCTTAGCAATGGCATTTTGTTTAGGAAATCTTGTCCTGACACTCCTGAACAAAATGGCGTAGCTGAACGTAAACATAAGCATTTACTTGAACTAACTCGCACTATGCTTCTTGAGGCGAATATGCCAGCTAGTTTTTGGATAGGTGTTGTGTTTACCGCTATCTATATTATCAATCGTCTCCCTACTCCCAACTTAAATGGCGCTTCTTTTTTTGAAAAATTATTCCATCATTCTCCTGACTTCTCTTTTATGCTTGTATTTGGTTGTGCATGTTTTCCAAATTTCATTGCCACCTCTGCAAATAAATTGTCTCTGAGATCGACTTTGTGTGTCTTTTTGGGATATGCCCCTGAATACAAAGGTTATAGTTGCTTAGATCCTATTAGTGGCAAGATCTACATCAATAGGAACGTTCGATTTTACGAAGATATTTTTCCATATTCAGCCTTGACTTCTTCCTCTACAAATACGGTGTTGCCACAAGTGTCTCCACCTAATACAGATGATTTTCAAAAATCATGAGTACAATTCTAATTATGCTCCTATGTATAATTTCTAATAGATAATACTGACGTGCACTTTGTCGTGAGTGCACTCAAAATAAATTCAATACTAACACTTATACGTAGTATAGGTGATAAATTAAAGATAAATTATTCGTATCCACAGGGAAAGGAATAATTTATCTTTTTAACGAAAGGAGTAAATAAAGGGGGGTTTTGGGTTGAATGATTTAATTAAATTAAACACGAAGATGAACGAGTTATATGTGATTTAATTCAAAGATAAAAAGGACTTGGCATTGCTACTTTCCACTTGTTGATATATTTTAGTCGATCATTGTTATATCTATAACTTATCTCCTCTCGAATACTCAATCGAGGAGTATATCCAATTCATCGAGGATAGTTATTAACAACAACCGTTCATTAATAACCCTTACTATTTGTCAAGTATAGAACAACGCCATATACCGACTTGATAGTAGCATTTAATCTTTTAACTCCTTGATGAAATCAATTGAGATTGATAACCTCAACACAACGGTTTCGGTTTAACCAACAAAATTAATCCCTCTTAAGTTTATTAACCATGACCGTGCATTAATAAACTGAAGTTACTTACTTGTGAAACTATCAACGATTAACCATCGGTTCGTTGATCGTTTCTAGTAATAATTAATATGTGAAGCAAAACTAGTTGATCCTTTAAGTAATGTTCAAAATATTAATATGAAATATGAATAGGAATTAATTAATACTCAAGGAAGAATATTAAAGGGAATGAATCCTACTATAGTTAAATATCAAGATGTTAACTAATTGTCATCTTAGTAACACTCCCCGATATTAACATAGAGGAAGGAATAGCTATTACTAAAACCAATGTCAAGATGTTAACTAATTGTCATCTTAGTAACACTCCCCAACATTGATATAGAAATAGTATTTAAAGGAAGAATTAATATTCAAGGAAAAGAAGTTAAGAAAAATAACTCACAACTTTAATAATCAACAAGCTTCAAGAGCAATACCAAGAAATGGAAGTTTAGCTCCTCATTTGGAGACTAAACATGCTAAAAGAAATATAGAGAAATGCTATTCTAAACTGAGCTTAAGAGTATATAGGAATTGGTGTTTAAAGTGAAGGAAAGGAGGTGTATTTATAGGCTTTTTGAGGTGCAGGCCGAGTACTCGATCGAGTATATACATATACTCGATCGAGTATGTGTAGAAATCAGAATTCGGTCAATACTCGATCAATACTCGAGTAGATTTTATATGTATACCCGATCGAGTATGTCGGTGTACTCGATCGGGTATGACAATAGAACGTGGCCAAATCTTTCCTTGCATGTTCATTTGTTCCCGGATCGGATCCTTGAAAATCAGTATTGGTACTCGATCGAGTATAAGGTATACTCGATCGAGTATACCCCAAAATCAGGAATTTTTCCTTCTTTTTGTCTTGTACTCTTGCACCTTCCTTCACCATTGATCATTTGATTGATCTTGGACCTGTTTAAGCTCAGAATAAACCTAATCTAAACAATTTACAAGATTTTAACAAACTAACTATTACACCAAAAGTGTGTAATTTCCGAAATATTAAACAACCAAAACTAACTAAAAACGTAAATAAACACACGGAAATTACAAACGTATCAACTCCCCCACACTTAGTTCTTTACTCGTCCTCGAGTAAAGTCAAATGTTTCAAACAGTTTAAGATCATTCCATGAGTTCAAGAAAGAAAGGAACTAAGATCACCAAGAAATAAGAAAATGATTTTACAAAACAACATTTTTTTCTTGGGTTTTATGATCTTCTATGCTCCATCTTCTTGCCTCTTCTTTTTTTGCCTTCTCCTCTTTCTCTTCAAGAGATCAAATGAGTTCCTGCACACAACAAATACTTCTCTCATATCTCTCATTTTGCCTAGGAGCCTTTTCAGGTTTTCATCCTAGCATCTCTTTTTGTTTTTCCATCCTTTCCAAACTCACTCAAAATTTTTTTTATAAGCCATTTTTGCTTAGATTGCCCATTCTTGGGTTTTCAACCTAACTAGCATTTCAATTCTTTTATTTATCCATTTTTTTGTTTGTTTACAAAGAGTAAATGAAATTCATGCATAGTAAAAGGTAGAAAATGAAATTACATACCATGAGTAATCTCCTCCCCCACACTTAGTTGAAGCACTGTCCCTAGTGCCCGCCTTCTCCGCCATAGTAACTGCCCCCAAAGCCGCCTCCATAGCTCCCATCGCCCATGTGAGTATCGCCACCGTCATCCCCGCCATCAAAACCGCCACCCCCGGAGCTCGATCCTCCAAAGTTGCCCCATTGAGTGGGGTCATACCAAGAGGGGGGTGGTGGTGGTTGAGCCATGGTGTGGAATTGGCCTTGATGAGCCATGTAGGAATACATAGGTCCATAGAACCTACGTTGATCTTCTTCATACCTTCGGTTGTATTCGGCCCGTTGCTCCTCTAGCCTTTGAAATCCCGCCCTTTGTTCCTCTCGATACTTACCAACTTCATTAGTAACTCTATTAAATCCGTCAAGCAGTTGTTGGAAGTAATCGGGAGGTGGGGAAGCTTGGTTTGGTTCGGGCATGTGGTGATGTGCAACCTCGGGTTCTTGGTACTCGGGTTGAGGCTCTTGGTCGGGTTGGTCTTCGGGGGGATCTTGGGCTTGCGGTTCTTGGAGATGTGGTGGAAGGGCGTGTGGGAATAGGAAATGGGGCACGTCGAACTCTGGCCTGTAGATGATTTTGGGGGTGTCGGGGTTTGGCATGAGGAAGTATTGGACCGGTTGGACGTGTATGATCCAGTTGTACATGTGTTTTGGTCGGTCCCCAATGTACACTGTATGAGAAAAAGAGGTGCAGCCTGATCGGCCTAGCCAACCTATGTCCATCAAACAATAGTCGGGTATAGGAGAGTTATCCGTATACCCGAATTTACCGGCCAAGTGCATAATTACCCCTCCCAAAACAATGGCTCCTTTGGCTATGCTTTCTTTTTTCAGATGTGCCCACATGAGATTGCATAGATTAAAGTCTACGCGACGACGGAATAGGGCCACAGACATCAAACAAACGTCCCCGATTCTAGTGTGATGGTTGTTGGGACGGCCAAGCAAGCAATTGGCTAGGAATTTCAAGAATAACCGGAAGACGGGGTGTTGGACATGACTAATATACATTTGGGAGGAACTAAAGTTCACTTCCCCAGTCATTCTTGTCCATAGGGTGTGCCCGAACATGGTATTATCCGAAATGGATCTCTCGTAGGGCACTGGGATGCCAAAATGTTCAGCAAACTCGAGTTTCGTTATTGAATAGTTTCGGTTAAACAGACGAAACTCGAGTCTATCATCCCTAAAATCCGCCTCATCACTTTCAAAGTTCACCGAACTCAAGAATTCGTAGATAATCCGTTCATTAGAATTGTATTTCATATTGAAAATACGGTCCATATCTAATGCATGAAAGAATTTTCTACAACTCTTATAGACTCCTAATTCTCGTAGAGCATCATGGCAAAGAAAACGGGAAGGTTTTACTTGCCTTTTTGTTGTTGATAGGAGTCTAGTTCTGTGTTCGGCGTCGGCGGGAATGATGTCTTCAAAGCCCGGGATAGGTGCTATGGTGATTGAGCTCTCTCCCCTATTCTTCCTTGGAGCCATTTTTTTGAAGCTTTTGAGTTTAAAGAGGCAAGAATTCGAATGGGGGTAGGGTTTTTGGGATTTGGTGGAAGTTTGGGGAAAATGGGATTTTTGGGTATAGATATGGAGAGGAGAGTGAAGGGAGTATTTTGGTGGTGGAATGGGTTGATTTGGTGGAGAATTGAGAGAGATATGGTAGAGAGAAGGGTTGAAAATGGAGTTTGGGGGAGAGGGGGTTCGAAATTTTGGAGAGTGTTGGGGAAGATGAAGTGTTTTGGGTGTATTTGGGGTTATATCCGCAGGGGTACCCGATCGAGTATCCCTGTATACCCGATCGGGTACCGGAGACAGGGAATAGAATTTGGGTGTTTTCTGAGCATACTCGACCGAGTATCAACCTATACTCGATCGAGTACTGGAGGCAGGGATTAAATTAAGTTGTTTTTCCCGTTATACTCGACCGAGTATCAATCTGTACTCGATCGAGTACTGGAGACAGATTTTTTTCTTCTTCTCATTTCAGCTTATACTCGACCGGGTACAGTCATATACCCGATCGAGTATGTCTATATTTTTGAAAAAATTTGGCATTTTCGATCGAGTACTGAACTCGGGTCCTTCTTTTCATTAATACCCGCCCGAGTATGTGCCAATACTCGAGCGAGTATATCCCCAGGTATCATTTTTTTATTTTTTTTATATATATATTTTTTTTTTTCAAAAACACGTGGTTAGTTCCCTCTCTCACCCTCTCAAAACACACAAAAAGAAAATAAAATCTAACTACTTGACTTGGGTTGCCTCCCAAGAAGCGCCTTATTTAACGTCGTGGCACGACGTTTTATTTATTTTTATTTTTATTTTATGTGGGATCGTGAGCATCTCTTCCTTCATTTCTTTTCTTTAGCCTTTTCCAGTAAGGCCGACTTTTCTTCTTTGTTCCCGACTCAATTAAAGCATTTGGCGTTGGTGGTTCAAAAACATTTAAAGAACAAAGAGATTGATCTTTAATTTGTTTTTTCGTAGAGTCAAAGATATTGAACTCTACTTTTTGGTCATTGAACTCTAAAGTTAATGAACCACTAGACACGTCGATTTTTGTTTTTGCGGTCTTTAAGAAGGGTCTTCCCAAAAGGATGGGCGCTGTTTGGTCATCATTCCCCATTTCGAGGACGTAGAAATCGACGGGAAAAACCATATTCTCTACTTCTACTAGCACATCTTCTAATACACCCTTCGGGTAGGTACTAGAACGATCTGCTAGTTGAATCACCACACCAGTTTGATGTAGTGGGCCAAGTTGTAGGGATTTATAAACGGAATAAGGGATGACGTTTATAGATGCCCCTAAATCTAGTAAGGCCTTAGGAAATGTGGTGTTTCCTATCGTGCAAGGAATAGTGAACATGCCCGGGTCGCCACATTTTTTTGGAAATTTTTCTTGAAAGATGGTCGAGACCTGTTCACTAACTTCAACCTTTTGTTTCCCCTTTAATTTATCTTTTCTTTTCATTACACATAATTCTTTCAAAAACTTTGCATAACGGGGAACACTTTTGATTAGTTTAAAGAGTGGGATATTTACCTCACAATCGGCGAAGGTCTCATAGATGTTCCGATTACTCTCTAGCTTCCTTGTGTCTTTCAATGCCTCAGGGAATGGAGGGATTGGTTCATATGATGACAGCGGAGGGAATTTTGTCTTCGTTGGCTCCTCCTCCTTGTGGTCAACCTCCTATTTTTCAACTTCCTTTGCTTGTAATGCCGGGCTACTCCTTAGCATGATGGCATTGACTTGTTGCCTTGGGTTCTGTTCAGTTTGGGAGGGAAGCCTACCCGAATCTCTTGCTTCAAGTCGATTTACAGCATTCGAAATTTGGCTAACTTGAGTTTCCAAATTTTGAATGCTTGACTTTGTTTCTTGTTGAAATTGCACCACGTTTTGTTGTAAGGTGCCCATGGTAGTAGCAAGAGTTCGAATCATGTCTTCCGTAGACATACTCGATTGAGAAGGTGGGTTGGCTTGTTGAGGGTTTCCATACCTTAAGTTTGGATGATCCCTCAATGCGGGATTGTAAGAATTTGAGAACGGGTCATACCTCCTTTGTTGGTGGCCTTGGAAACCCAAGGCGTTGACTTGCTCTGTGGTGTCTTCCTGAAGAGTTGGGCATGAGTCCGTGGGGTGCCCTTGTTGTGTACAGATACCGCAGACCTTGACTTCTTGGGTCTTGGATTTTAAAAGGAAATCCTTAACCAAAGAAGTCAAGCCGGCCATTTGACTCGTCAAGCCGTTCACTTGACTTTCCAACGCGTTGTTGGATTCTGCCGCCATAACCCTCCGAGTTGAGGACCGTCCATTATAGTGTCTGGAGTTCTCGGCCAACTCCGAGATGAGATCTCTCGCTTGTGAAGGGGTTTTGTTGACAATGCCCCCTCCACACGCCGCATTCACCATGCGACGATCTTGATCCACAAGACCATCATAGAAGTAGAGGATGAGGTCTTGTTCGGTGTATCCGTGATAGGGGCAACTTGCACATAACTTCTTGAATCTCTCCCAATATTCATATAGGGATTCATCATCTTTTTGTTCGATGTTGCTTATTTGCTTCTTGAGTGATGATGAAATAGAAGCGGGGTAGTACCTGTCCAGAAAGGCCTTCTTCATTTGTGGCCATGTAGTGATACTTCCCGAAGGAAGATAGAAAAGCCAATCCTTTGCGGTGTCCTTCAAGGAGAATGGGAAGGCTCTCAGTTTGATCTGCTCCTCGGAGACACCATTGGGGCACATGCTTGTGCACACAATGTGGAACTCCGATAGGTGTTTGTTTGGATCCTCCCCTCGTAAGCCATGGAATGATGGAAGGAGATGAATGAGCCCAGATTTTAGCTCAAATGTGACCCCCGTATCAAGAGTTGGAAAAGTGATACATAGAGGTTGTTGATCTAGATTCGGAGCCGTGAGCTCCCTCAGTGTTCTCGTTTCTTGAGCCATAGTGATTGGCTCTTCAGATTCGCTAGAACTGGAGCTAGCGTTTGAGGTTTCCTCCGAGGGTATGTGCGGAATTAAATTTCTCAACCTCTCGAAGGCTTGTTCTATTTCGGGGTTTGCTTGATAAGTGATTTCGTTTATAGAACGATATCGGACCATATACTTCACAAAGCTCAGAAATAGAAAAATAAGAACTCTTTATATTTTTGGTTAATTATTTTTTTTTTTGAAATAACAAGAAAAATAATTGCCTTTCCCCGGCAACGGCGCCAAATTTGACGTGCACTTTGTCGTGAGTGCACTCAAAATAAATTCAATACTAACACTTATACGTAGTATAGGTGATAAATTAAAGATAAATTATTCGTATCCACAGGGAAAGGAATAATTTATCTTTTTAACGAAAGGAGTAAATAAAGGGGGGTTTTGGGTTGAATGATTTAATTAAATTAAACACGAAGATGAACGAGTTATATGTGATTTAATTCAAAGATAAAAAGGACTTGGCATTGCTACTTTCCACTTGTTGATATATTTTAGTCGATCATTGTTATATCTATAACTTATCTCCTCTCGAATACTCAATCGAGGAGTATATCCAATTCATCGAGGATAGTTATTAACAACAACCGTTCATTAATAACCCTTACTATTTGTCAAGTATAGAACAACGCCATATACCGACTTGATAGTAGCATTTAATCTTTTAACTCCTTGATGAAATCAATTGAGATTGATAACCTCAACACAACGGTTTCGGTTTAACCAACAAAATTAATCCCTCTTAAGTTTATTAACCATGACCGTGCATTAATAAACTGAAGTTACTTACTTGTGAAACTATCAACGATTAACCATCGGTTCGTTGATCGTTTCTAGTAATAATTAATATGTGAAGCAAAACTAGTTGATCCTTTAAGTAATGTTCAAAATATTAATATGAAATATGAATAGGAATTAATTAATACTCAAGGAAGAATATTAAAGGGAATGAATCCTACTATAGTTAAATATCAAGATGTTAACTAATTGTCATCTTAGTAACACTCCCCGATATTAACATAGAGGAAGGAATAGCTATTACTAAAACCAATGTCAAGATGTTAACTAATTGTCATCTTAGTAACACTCCCCAACATTGATATAGAAATAGTATTTAAAGGAAGAATTAATATTCAAGGAAAAGAAGTTAAGAAAAATAACTCACAACTTTAATAATCAACAAGCTTCAAGAGCAATACCAAGAAATGGAAGTTTAGCTCCTCATTTGGAGACTAAACATGCTAAAAGAAATATAGAGAAATGCTATTCTAAACTGAGCTTAAGAGTATATAGGAATTGGTGTTTAAAGTGAAGGAAAGGAGGTGTATTTATAGGCTTTTTGAGGTGCAGGCCGAGTACTCGATCGAGTATATACATATACTCGATCGAGTATGTGTAGAAATCAGAATTCGGTCAATACTCGATCAATACTCGAGTAGATTTTATATGTATACCCGATCGAGTATGTCGGTGTACTCGATCGGGTATGACAATAGAACGTGGCCAAATCTTTCCTTGCATGTTCATTTGTTCCCGGATCGGATCCTTGAAAATCAGTATTGGTACTCGATCGAGTATAAGGTATACTCGATCGAGTATACCCCAAAATCAGGAATTTTTCCTTCTTTTTGTCTTGTACTCTTGCACCTTCCTTCACCATTGATCATTTGATTGATCTTGGACCTGTTTAAGCTCAGAATAAACCTAATCTAAACAATTTACAAGATTTTAACAAACTAACTATTACACCAAAAGTGTGTAATTTCCGAAATATTAAACAACCAAAACTAACTAAAAACGTAAATAAACACACGGAAATTACAAACGTATCAAATACATTTCAAAAATCATGAGTACAATTCTATACATTTCAAAAATCATGAGTACAATTCTAATTTCTAATCATGGCAAACACTTTCCATAATTGTATCTTTGAAATGTATTATCTATTATTTATAGAAGAGAATATGTCCGACCGTCGCCACTTGGGTTGGTTCCCGGTGGAAATTTTTGACGAATTTTTTTGAGAATCTTATTCAGTAAGTCTAGTTTACTCATACCAAATTTCAGCTAAAACTTCAATAGAAGGCATTTGATACACTTGTAATTTCCGTGTATATGTTTATGTTTTTAGCTAGTTTTGGTTGTTTAATATTTCGGAAATTACACACTTTTGGTGTAATAGTTTAGTTTGTTAAGTTCTTGTAAATTGCTTAGATTAGGTTTATTCTGAGCTCAAACAGGTCTACTTTCACTCAAAGGATGGTTGGTGAACCCCACAAGTGGAAGGAAGGTGCAAATCACAAGACAAAAGGGGAAAATCCTGATTTTGGTCTATACTCGGTCGAGTATTATCTATACTCGATCGGGTATAAGGTTGAAACTTCAAATCAGATCGAATCCGAAGACAAAGGAACATGCCGGGAAGATTTTGACCACGATTCATTGTCTATACTCGATCGGGTAGACCGACATACCCGATCGAGTATGCCTTTGAGTTTAAACCCGAAATCGGTCGAGTATGGCTCGAATATCACTTTCTACACATACTCGACCGAGTATGAATATATACTCGATCGAGTACACCTTTGATTTTTAAGCCAAAATCGATCGAGTATACCTCGAATCTGGCATTTCACACATACTCGATCGGGTACTATGTATATACCCGATCGAGTACTCGAGTCCCATCCCAAAAACCTATAAATACACCCCCTTTCCTTCACAATAGATCACCAATTCACATATACTTCTTAGCTCAGTTTAGACAAGTTCTTTCTTTATATTTTTCATCATGTTTAGTCTCCAAATGAGGAGCTAAACTCTTCCATCTTGGTTTTGCTCCTTTGAAGCTTAATGAATTTGTAAGTTGTGAGTTATTATCTTTAATCTTCTTCCTTGAATATTAATTCTTTCTTTAAATACTATTTCTATATCAATGTTGGGGAGTGTTACTAAGATGACAATTAGTTAACATCTTGACATTAGTTATAGTAATAGTTATTTCTTCCTCTACGTTAATATCGGGGAGTGTTACTAAGATGACAATTAGTTAACATCTTGATATTAACTATAGTAGGATTCATCTTCTTTAATATTCTTTCTTGAGTATTAATTAATTCCTATTCATATTTCATATTAATATTTTGAACATTACTTAAAGGATCAACTAGTTTTGTTTCATATATTAATTAATACTAGAATCGGTCGATTAATACGCTTGTTATTAATTCGGTCCTTTCACGGTAGTAAACTTGGATTATTAATGCATGCATCTCATGGTCAATAATCTAAGGGGAATTAATTACATTGATTAACCAACAAACCGCTTGTGTTGAGGTTATCAATCTCAATCGTTTTCATCTTAAGTTTATTGCAACTATCAAAGTTAATATACGGCGCTTGTTCTATATTGACTCGATAGTAAGTTTTATTAATGAACGCATCTCGTTATTAATAACTACCCTCGATGAACTGGATATACTCCTCGATTGAGTATTCGAGAGGAAGATAGTTAAAGATATGACCGGGATCAACGAACATTTCATTAAGTGGATAAAAGCAAAACCAAGTCTTCTTCTCATTAATTAAACCACATAACTCGTTCATCTTTGTGTTTTAATATTCTAAAAAGTTCTTCAACAACAAATCTAAAACCCCCCTTTATTACTAGTTATAAAAAGATAAGTATTCCTTTCCCTGCGGATACGAACCTTACTACGCTATACTACGTATAAGTGTTGTATTGTATTATTTATTTTGAGTGCACCTCACGACAAGTGCACGTCAGCATTCAAATGAATTCTTGAAGATAACTGCCCAGTTAAAAGCGCAGTTATCTTCAAGAATTCATTTGAATGCCTTCCCAATTGAATTGTTAGCTGAAACTTGATATGAGTCAACTAGACATAATGAATAAGATGGTAAAAAAAATCATCAAAAAATTCCACCGAGAGCCACTCTAAATGGCGAAGGCCGGACAAAGCCTCATAAATAAGGCCTTATTTGACTTTTTTTTGTTAGTACCTGACCTTATTTGCCCATTTTCCCTTAGCTTTATCAAACATATTTTTAGCAAACATTTTCTTATATTTTTAATTTTTTTTTATAACTCAATAGATTTTATTATTTCAACTAAAATTTCACCAATTTTAGCGGATTCAAATAATACTAGTTTACCAAATTGGCCTCTTAGTTTTACAACATGTAGAATGACTCAAATGATATTTTAGTCTTAGGATGTTTATGTTTGAACTGATTTTAATCTCAGACCAAAACAGACCAGATCTGAAAATTTCAGTCCAATTTTTTTTTAGTATATATGCAGAAAAAATAATAACAAAAAATAGCAGTAGTATAGCAAATTAAGTAAATCAGAGTGAAACATGCCAATTATGATCGAGAAGACATGTAACTTAATAACTTGTGGGTCAATGAATGATAAATCAAGCAGATACGTATGAAACTATGAATCCTCTTCGACCAGGCCGGCTTACGTGCTCAGTAGTGAGCCCGTCACATGCTTACTAAAATTTTCGGCCATAACTGCCATTCCATTGTTTAGTTGTGTAAAACGATATGTTCTTAATTAATTACTAATTTTTTTTACAGAAATCTATCAATAATGTCATCATCAAATACATCTATGAACGGGCCAAGGCATGAGCGTGGAAAAGAGGTAGTACTTCAATTATTGGCAGACAGAAGGAGGATTCAAGAGTTAACAACTTATATAAATAACTTTCGGATGAATACCCTATGGGAGATGGACAAAAAGCTGCTATGTATCAAGCTGAAAGGGAACGACATAGGGTGATTGATCAAGAGCAAAAAAGAGAAGTCATACTAGCCAATCAATATGGCTTGAGTAATGCGATAATACAAGATGATTTTGCTCTCTGATCTTTTGTGGCAGAGTACTTTCCATATTAGTCATTAACGATGCTTCGAATTGATAAGTGATAATCTACTACTCACTTATTAGCAATAAGTAATAGACTAGTGCGAGTAGTACTTTTTATATTTATAGTTAATTATTACTTTATAATTAGTTCGAGCTGTTTTTGGTACGTAGTGCACTTGATTAATTATAAATTTTTAATTTTATGTTTGCCATCCACATATATCTATATGAATACGAGTATAAATTTGGTATTGTCTATGTCAAAGGGCTTGTTGAATGTTTCTACGAATCAAAGCATCAACCAACCGGAGATTGAATTGAAATCTTCAAAGCAATGAAAACATTAAAAAGAATGAATAAACATAAAATATATGAAACTTTTCATGAGTTTCTTCACAGCAATAGACACAAAATATAAACATTTTCTGTATATGAAATATGAAACTTTTGATGAGTTTCTAGAACAACGTCGCTTCTTAGTATATTGCTTGAAACCACACATTGGTTCGTATGATGCCATTATTATATAATCCATTAGGGATTCCCAATTACGATTCCAATTTCTAAGTTTCACAGCATTGTAGATTTGTACAACAAAACCTTGAATCAAATAACTACTCAAGAACGAAGTCTTAATTGGTAAAAAAGATAAAGTAATTCTAGTGATTTAATAATGCAATATACGGAGTAAATAGGTAGCGTAGAGACTTCTAATACCAAAATTTTCATTAGACCAAATATCCACTACGGATCGGAGTGGAAATGTGTGCTTTGACCTTTTCTTATTTACACTTTTCCCGGTGATTATTTCATGTTTTTGAATCAAACTGATCTACTTCATGTAGTTGGCGTGCAAGGATCAACAACTCTGAATATGGCCTCGGTGGATCTGAGGATTTAAAAAGAACCTAGAAAGATCAAACGTTGAGATATACTCCGTAATATAAAAGTTGCAACACTAATATATATATACGGAGTAATATAATCAAACTACTAAGTACTAGTATAAAATACTATTACTATTATTAAATTTCTATCAATATAATTTTCATAATATTACTTTTTATAATGTTTCATTACTAATACATAATCAATTATAACAACAGTCAAAATTGTGTGTTGATAAATGTGAAAGTCAAATTGTTGAGCCTTTTAGAAAGGGAGGAATGGGGATATTATATCTCAGATCAACTATACTAATGAGAAAGGACGAACTTACATTACAATTTATAATATTTTAGATTTTAAGCATTTAAAAAGAGGTCACAACTCCGTTACCTTTCTAAAATATGGGGTACCGTACCTATCATTCATTTGATTGGACCACATCACTTTATCATTTTTAATTTAGATTTAAATAATTCAACTGATACATTCTCATTGGTCTATGTGGACAAAAATACAATACCTTATGGGTACTATAAAATCTACCTTAAAAAGAATCTAGAAAGATCAACTAACAGCTATATATGAGAAAATTTGAGACACTACATGTCAAGTTCTCTAAAGCTTCTCTTCAATTCTACTAGACAATATACCGTCACTACACCTCAATAAAAAATAATCACCTATCATTTAAGTTCATATGACGAACGAGGCAACATTTTCTAACATTTTTGTTAATCACAATGCTTCATCGAAGTGTATAACCGCAGGTCCTTAACTAAGATTGCATTATAGGTCCAAAATTTTGCAAGTCTAAGACAAGTGTCCCATTTAATTTAATCCGTGAACAGCGGGGCCGGCCCCCAAAATGAGCATGTTCACATCCCATTTCCTTCTCAAACTCTTCTTATCAACAGGACAATTAACTAAGAGAATACCCCCTCCGTTCCAAAATTATTCTCTCGTTTTGTTTTTCACACAGATTAAGAAAATGACACTGTAGCGACACTGTTTGGCACTGTAGCGATACTGTTTGGCACTGTAGCAACACTATTTGACATTGTTTTGCACTGTTTGACACTGTTTAGTATAGATTTGTTTACCAAATAAGGAAGGTAAAGAAACGGGACAATTATTTCGGGACGGACCGAAAAGGAAAGCGGGACAATAATTTTGGGACAGAGGGAGTATAAAATAGACTTTAATCATTAACTGACAGATAGAGAATGAAATTCTGATTAAGTAGTTGCAAAAGCTTAATGAACTTTCTCATAATAAACTATAATCAATTGACATGATTTGAGACTTACCTTTATAACACCATAGATGTTGAGCTACATCCACCCGCTCTTCACATTTTTTCAAACACCATATATTGGTGCGTGCAATTAAGATATACGTATCATGGATCGAGTATTTATTGTAACTTGATCTTAGTTGTATTTCCAACCATAACAATAATGAATTAATGATCATCATGTTACGGTCCAATGGTCCATATGTTAGTATGTTACATACTGTCCATAGAAATTGTGCGAAAAGAGAGTATGCATAATATATAATTAAGAAAACAATGGGAAGTAATCCAATCATGCAACACGTGTTGCTACTCTTATATATAAAAATATAAAACTTCTAACTAATCACGAAAACCTACTTGTATTAATCACAATTGTTAATCAGAGTTTGTCGTCCTAGTTACCTTAGGTCCTTAACTAAAAATGCATTATGGGCAAGGCTAGCATAAATGCATCATGACATGTGTTACCATGCTAAAAAGGTAAAAAAGCTACAATGCGTTATGGGTCAGAAATTTTGCATTGGGGTATAACTAAGAGACGTGTCCCATTTAATTCAATCCAAGGACATCATCGGGACCAGGCCCTCAAAATGAGCATGTTCACATTTTTCATCCGTCAAGGGTTGAATCCTCAATACTAGGGCTTAGGGGTCCCCTACGCCCTGCACCAACAAGGTATATAGAAGTTCTAAATCAAATAATTGAGGGCGTGTTTAGTTAGCATATAGCTAGCGGATAACGGATTATATTAGCAAGTTGTTAATAGCGGATCAGTAAGCGAGTTTGACTAGCGGTATAAATTGGCAGTTTGTCAAAATATATTTGGTAATTTAGCTGTTTTGTCATAAAAATTAGTAGAAAACATCATTTATTGAAAACGCTAACTCAAAACACTTCTATTTGCAGCGTTTTAATTTCAGCAGTTTCGTTCAAAAATGCTAGGACTGAACAGCTATATACGAAATTCTCATTTATTGAAAACGCTAAAAAGGGTCAAACCGTCTAACTGAAATGTCATATTCCAAACACCCCTCAATCAACTCAATAGTTATAGATTTTATAGTTTATACCATAGGCACTACATATCCAGAGATCAACACACAAAAATCGTAATTTTCACACGGCCGTTACGGACTTTGATCGTATTCATCACATTTTTCAAACTCCATTTATTTTACTGTCAAGAAATATTATGGGTACATATTATAATTATTACAGGTTAGGGTTATATTAATATACCACATACATGTTACAGGTATTATTTTTCAAATTATAAAGGAGTACTATTATACGGAGTAATATACTCCGTGAAAAAGTATGAAATATGGAATAATCCTAAATTAGAATACATATTCCAAAAAAGTACATATATAATTATTACATATTACATATATAATTACATATAAAATTTACAAAATATGACACAAAGGCTCACGAACCGGCTCGCGAACCACGGGCCTAAAATAAATAGGCTTGAATTGAGTAGACCTGCACAAAAGCGGGTTCGGGCCGGGCTCGGGCCGGGCTTTTCATAAGTTTTCTGCCCATCGTGTGTGGGCGGGCCCGGCCCCGCAAAAACAGGTCTAACCCCATGTCCATACCCGCCTGTAAGAGCGGGCCGGGTAGTCCACCGGGCCCAGGAAAACTTTAAAATTTTCAAAATTATATAATTTATTTAATACTTTATAAATAATATTACAACCTTAAAAAAATTGCTAATACGCTTATAATGTATATAGGCCCTTCATCACATACACAAAAAATATTTACACAAAAATAATAATGAGAAACTATATCTAAAATTTAAAAATCGTGCACAAAGTATTATCTTTAAGTACAAAAATAGATACTCCGTATTATATTGGTTGGACTATTTGTTAAGAACTAAAAACATAAATTTAAACACAATAAACTATAAATATGTATACAGATAAATTAGTAAATATAAAAAATATATATACATGTGTACATGTAAATAAATACATAAATTAGTATATATAAAAATATATACATATATATACTAAATGTAGCGGGCCTACACCCTAACCCAAGCCCGTCCATATGTTTTTGTGGTGCGGGGCCGGCCCAGGCCGGTGGGTAAATATATATGCCCAAGCCCGCTAATTTGTGCGGGCGGGCTGGGCGTTCCGGGCGGCCCGGTTTTGTACAAATCTAGAATTGAGCTTGTTAACTATTCGAGTTGAACTTAATATGATCGAACTCGAGTCGAGCTTTTCCCGAACGATCCACGAGCAGCTCGCGAGCGGCTTGGCTCATTTACACCCCTATTTCTACGTATCAAAGCACCAACCGAGATGGAATTGAATTCTTCAAAGCAATGAAAATAATGAATAAACATCATGGGCATTTTACGAAACTTTTTACGAATAAATTATCACGCATATGCGGCGTTACATTTTGTGCATATGAAGCTTTTCATGAGTATATTGGTTGAAACCACACATTGATTTCGTAAGTTCGTAGCATGCCATTATTGTATTTCCCATTAGGGATTCACAATTAGTATTCCAATGTCAATGTTTTGACATATTCAGAAATAAGTCTAAATTCGTAAAAAGAAAAAAAAAAGTAAATCTAGTCATTTAATAATGCAATATACTACGTAAATAGGTAGCGTAGAGACTTGTAATACCAAAATTTTCATTAGACCAAATATCCACTACAGAGTGAAAATGTGTGCTTTGACCTTTTTATTTACATTTCCCTGATGATTATTTCTTGTTTTGAATCAAACTGATGTACTTCATGTAGTTGGTGTGCAAGTATCAACAACTGTGAATATGACTCGGATGATTGATTGATTGGCGGATCTGTAGAGTCAGGAATGGAGCCAAGTCACTAGTTCGGATCGAACCGGTATAAAGATTATTTTTGAAAAAAAAAATTACAAGAATTTTATTACACTAAAGATATAAACATTTTTAAAATTTGAACTGGGTTGGGACCAGGTTGGCCCCCTAGCTACGCCCTTATACAGAGGTCATGAGGGCGGACGAATTTACATCCCAATTTAGAATATCTTCGATTTTTAGCATTTAAAAAGAA